CATTTATTTGAATAATGACTAAAAGTGCTTACGTAAATTTCCATTTTTTCTATTGCATGATGATGAACACACTCATGTGTACGCGAATAATCATACCCATGTATTTTTTCAAAAATATTTTACTCATGTATTTTTCAATAATCTTATTAATTGAGTAGTTTCTAAGACCACATGTTGGTGTGCGAATATCACATTATATTTAACTCTATTTAAATGATTTTAATTATTGATTTATTTTTCATTGTGAACACAGGTCAAGACACGAATTCACTCATTTGCAGATTATTGTGATTGTAATGGCAAATGTTTTGGCTATGCAATTTGTGATGTTGCATGGATTGTCTCCCAAAAATGCATGCACCACATCTTTTTGCGAGTGTTATCCAAAGTGCTATGAAAAAACTATCGGACAGTTTAATAATTTAACTGCATACAGAGAAGGATATTGTGTACTGTATTGCGATTATACATTCAATACGAAATGTTATAGTTTTTCTGACTGTCCCCACGGTATAGCGTAATGTACGTATCCAACTCACGATACAAGATTATGAATAAATGTTTTCATATTTATGTATTTTGCAATAGAACATATTTTATGTGAGTTTTTAGTGTCGTTTCTCTCCAAACGTTTATAATGTATTATTAGTCCTTGTGCACGTAGACGTACTCACTACTACAGAATGAGTATTTAATAGTGCATTTTACACATCGATCGGATAATTGATAACCGTTGTCTTTTCTTTTGGGGTAAATAAGGCGCGCACACAAAAAAAATTGAGCATCCAATTTTTTTTCGGAATGTTTTACCCAGCGGATAAAAACATATCCGCTATTGTAGATTTCCATTGAAATATAATTTACGGACTACTAAGAGCCTGTTCTTTAGGGCTTGAACTTTTAACTTTCAGTTTCTTCAAGTTTCTTCCAGTTCTTCCAGTTTCTTCCAACCATTTTCATTTTCTTCAAACTCTTTTTACTCCCCAACCAATTACTCTAAAAATGATACTACGTATATTTTTATTGTGATTATTATTGTTGTTGTTGTTATTATTATTATTATTACAACTGCTACGTTCATAGCTATAGTTTATAAATTATTTTTTCCATCTCTGATAGAATTTGGGATGAGTATGGACAACTGAATTGGGTAATAAGACACTTGGATTGAACTATATTAAAAAATTGAATCCAATCGATTAGTTAGTTCAACTCAGGAGCTTATATACCGATTATTTTACTCTTAGACTTCCAATGTGGGATGACACTTTAACACTCCCCCTCAACTCCTCAAGTGGACAACCGGGCCATTTTGAATCTCACCGGTTGACCACTTGCAAATGAACTCCCATTCCCTTGACTTTTTTTTGTGCCAACACCTAAAGGACCACGAGCCGCTGGGTATGAACTTTCAGACGAGCAATCGTGTTAAACAGGTCGTTGGGTACATACTCCATACAGACAACTGGGCTAAGACAAATGGGCCGCTAGGAATGAACGTCTAGATAGAACCCTTGACAAACGAGGTGGGCCAAAACCTACTCTGATACCATGATAGAATTTGGGATGTGTATGGACAACTGGATTGGGTAATAAGACACTTGGATTGAACTATATCAAAAGACTATTTTTACAATTCACACTCATTACTTTTTTCTTCAACTTTATAATATGAATAAGAAAATATTTTGTATATTAATCTACATGATAAAACGGGAAAACATCAATATGTTAAACTATATTAAAAAAATTATGGATAAAATAATGACATAAAATGTTTTATTAATCTAACTTTATATAAGACCTCTCACCTTTCCCTTTATTACTTCAAATTTGCTCATTTTTCTAATTTTTATTAAAAAAAGTTGTAAGTCAAAATAGTTTAGATATAGAAAAAGACTAAAATAGGTGTAGTAAAAAATAAATAATGTAAAAAAACGTTCTAAGTCTTTATTCCGAAAATAGGATTTCTATGAAAATAAAATGTAAATCATGAAAGAAAAAATAGCTTTGATTACATTATGTGACATGTCTGATATTTAAAAAATATCTTGTAATATATAAAGTATAATTACAAATATATTATTTATAGTAAATACTACATAAATAAATTGAGGTGAAACGTAACCACAAAAACTTTTTAAAATTTAATATTTTATATTTATGCTAACTTTATATTATAATTATTTTTTTGCAAAAATAGTTTTTTTTTTTATTTGAAACATAACAATATTTTTTTTGTATCTTAAAGGCATTCATTAAGATAATGTGATGATGATGATGATTATGATGATGATGATGATAAGGGCACTAGAAATACGTATGAAGCCCCGGGGCTTCAAACTTTCTCTCTCTGTCACGTTAGCTTTAACTTACACCAAAAATTCACTGAAAATGGGTTTGAAGCCCCGGGGCTTCAAACCTTCATTTTTTTACATTTTTAAATTAATCGCAATGAGAATAGTGCATTAAAAAATTACATTCATTAAAAAAATATTACATTCATAAAAAAATACATTCATTAAAAAAATTACATTCATTAAAAAAAATGACATTCATAAAAAATACATTCATAAAAAAATTACATTTATTAAAAAAATATTACATAAAAAAACAACACTACAAAGAAATCACTAAATATTCGAGCGACTAAAGATATGTTCGATCAAATCCGCCGTTAGTGCATTGTGAATCTCTCGGCTTTGAATTTCTGAGCGGTTTCTTCATTTTTTTTCTTCGGTGATTTCTTTGTACATAAGCACCTCCTCGTTCGGGTTGTATTGACAAATCGCAGTCCCGTTATCCTCTATGATCATATTATGAAGAATAATACATGCGTACATGATATTCCTCATTTTTGTTTGAGAATAACATTTCGACGGACGATCTAGAATGTGCCATTTACTCTTCAAGACCCCAAAGGCTCGTTCAATATCTTTTTTCGCCGCCTCTTGAGCTTTTTTGTAGGTCTGGCGTTTAAGACCCATTGGTTCGGAGAGAGATTTGACAATCGTGGAATAATATCCTCGCTTGTAAAGCGTCCCTCTAAGCTCAAAAGAGGGGTCCGGTGCGGTCTCATTAACCCAATCGTCAAAAACAGGCGATTGATCGAGAACGTTGATGTCGTTGTTCGAGCCCGCGACACCAAAAAAAGCATGCCAAATCCACAAGTCATTCGAAGCAACAGCTTCGAGCATGATGGTAGGCTTGGGATGATCTCCCCGGGAGAATTGACCATGCCACGCAGTGGGACAATTTTTCCATTCCCAATGCGTGCAATCAATACTCCCAAGCATGCCGACAAAGCTGTGTTTAGCGGCATGCCTTGCCTGCAACAGCTGGATGTCGCTCGCTGTAGGCTTGCGTAAATATCTTTTATGATAAATTTGAATAATAGCTTTTGAAAATTTATAAACACAGGACCTGATGCTCCGAGCCGACATCTTCAAGTATTAGTCGAACATATCAGATGTCGTCCCGTACGCCAACTGACGGAGCGCGGCAGTGCACTTCTGGACGCTACTAAACCCGCGTCGGCCTCTCGCATCAAACCGTTGGGTGAACCAAGGAACCTCGTGTTCAACATCGGCGAGTATGCGTAAAAAGAGAGGACGACTCATCCGAAAACGTCTACTAAAATCCTCCGGTGTATAAACACACGGATTATTAAAGTAGTCGTTTAGAAGTGAAGCGTGGGCGGCCGCTCGATCCTGTTTAAACGTTGTCGTCAGGTCCGTCGTTGGGAGGATTCAGCTTCTTCTTGGCCATCTTCCCACCATTGAATACAACTCGTGGCGAAACAACGAAAAAAGAGAGCTCTTTTTTCATCGTCAGATGAAGATGAACCCATTTTTAAAATATATTTTATAAATATTTATAATAAATAATAAATATTTTAGAGAGAATATAGAGAGATGTGTAGTAATAAAATAAATAAGGTAATCAATGGAAACTAACGAAAAAAGAGAGCTCTTTTGTATCATTTTAGTTACATTTCTTATTTTTTCATTTTTATATCTGTTATTCTTATTTTTTAAACTAAGACTAATCTTTAAAGAAGGAAAAAGAAATGATGATGGATGTAGAAAGTAATTTAAAAAATTTAAATGAAAAATTTAAAAAAAAAAAAAAATGAAAATTCATCAAAAATAATCCCAACTTTCATTTTGTTGCCTAAAACGGGCATTTCCGTTAAACCTCCATTAGAAACTTAACGGCGATCCAAAACTGGCAAATTTCAGTAAAGTTGGGATTATTATGCATCACAGTGAAAGCCGGGATTATTTTTGAAAGATTGGATAAAGTTGGGATCATTTTGGGTAATTTTTCCTTTTAAATTTAGAATTTTTTTAATGGGGGGGGGGGGGTAACGGCTATATAGCCGTTTTGAAAAGGGGGGGGGGACGGCTAAAATTCCGAATCAACGCCGCGTCAACTGAATGACACAGGTGCCATAACGCCCAGGTAACGCCGGAGGGGGGCGGTGTTTAACGCCCCCCAGGCGTGAAAAACGGCATAACGCCGGTGGGCGTGAAGAGTATACCGAGTTCTCTAATAATAATAATAATAATAATAATAATAATAATAATAAATTTAATAATAATAATAATAATAATAATAATAATAATAATAATAATAATAATAATAATAATAATAATAATAATAATAATAATAATAATAATAATAATAATAATAATAATAATAATAATAATAATAATTTATAATGAAAAGAAGTAAAAATAATTTTTTTTAAAAGTTTTTTTAGGTTTTCCAATTTTTTGAAGTTTTTCCAGTTCCTTTCAGTTTTTTCCAGTTTCTTCTAGTTCTTCCAGTTTCTTCTAATTCTTTCACTCTTTCCAGTTACTTCTACTTTTATCCAGTTTCTTCCAATTTTTTCCAATTTCTTGTAATATCCAATTTTTTTTTTCCAGTCCAAAAAAACATGATCTAAAAATTAAACTTCACCCTATCTATACCAAATCACATATACTTTTGCTGGG